CCGTACTACCGCACACATACTTCCTGGTTCTTCAATCTTTCTTTTTCTATAGGTTTCTCTCAATTTCGGCAGGGCTCAGAAATTCGGTGGGAGAGCTCCAAGGTTCAGTACTGACTCTACTAATATATCATGTATATACTTACGACAAACCTTTAAACAATGAGACATTGACTGCTACTTATGCTGACGACAAAGCGATTCTCACAAAACATCATGACCTTACACAAGACTCACTGACGTTACATCATTTAGATAAACTACATGCCTGGTACAAATCATGTAAAATTTGACTAATCCACGATATATCGGAATACATCACATTTACACTACGAAAAAATACCTGCCCCCCCAATTTATATCGAAAACAACCAAATTCCTCAGACGGACTCCGTACACTACCTCGATCTTACCTTTGACAGAAGGATGACATGGGGCCCACAGAGTTATAAAATTATGTCCAATAAAATTGAGTTTGAGACCAATGTACAACATTCCTTTAAACAATAATTATAGTGTTAAACCATTAAACATGAAGTACATTAAAAGAAATCGAAGAAAAATTAAAAATTAGGATGAAGAAAGCTTGCGATAAACAAATTCAAATTAATTATACTTAATTATTGGTTGTTCACTGGAACCTGTTAGTTAATAATTTCTCTAGATTTCAGGAATCTTGAGTGTGATTTCTCGGAATTCAGCACCATCAGCCAGTTTCTCTCTAAAATCTTTAGACTATACTATGTTATATATCATAATAATAACTGTGATATAATTATTAGACCGAGGAATGGTCACGCGACTTATGCTTATAAGCATTCCGCATTAAAAAAATATAGCTACTTAAAAACGGAATGTGCAGACTACAGAGACTATTTCCGATATATTAGAGGACTGTTCACGACATGTAGCCATTTTAATATATTATTTTAAATATAAAACATAGTAATATACAAATAAAAGCGTTAGCAGCCGTAGTCGAGCTCTTTCACTGAAGCCTTATTTTCTCTCATTTTTGTTTGGAAAACAGATTAAAGTGATTTAATCTTTTCATTAATGTCTTTATGAGGAAATGAAATAGAATTTTTAAATAAATTAAACAGCTAATTTTTCCTTCTTTTGTTTTGTTTTTATTCATTTCGTAATTTGTTCCGAATAAAATTTATTTTAAAATTGACGTTCTGGAATTTACTATTTTGCCATCAATTAAATTAACGTACAGCTGAAAAATACCCATACAAAAAATAAAATTAGAAAAAACACACTAAAAATAAACTTGGTTGGGGGAAAAGTTCAAGTCCACAAAAGGCACTTATCCTACGCCAACTTAATAAACATACAAAATTTTAATGCTATAACTTTTTTTGGAGGGGCTGTAGAGATAAATAAAACTTTAAACTAGGGAGGAATACGTTATAAATATTTTTTTACTAAATGTATCTATGCCATTAATTTATTGTTGAGCATAAAAAAACGCTGATTTATTTCAGCCGGAAGTAGGCCACTGTATGTTCCAAAAGTTAACGAAAAAATAAATATAGCTATATATTAGATCTCTGCTAAACCTCCAAAATCTTGTTTAAGAGGTTTTAAAACGTATATAAAATCCATCTCTACCCGTTTCGGAAGAACTTGGTTAGACATAGTATTCAATTATTTTCAGAAAAATAATAATTTAAAAAAAATTACTATTTAAAAATAATTTAAATTCATCAAAAACGAAAATTCAAAGGTATTAAAGATTAAAGACTAAGATATTTTTAATATGATCAGGAACAGTCAGGAACAGTTGCTAGACTTGAATTTATAACAAATTTCATGATTTTTTTTTTAAATTGACAAACTTGAAATGCTCTTACAACTTAAATCAGGCAATATTTTACACGAATTTTTTTAGAGAAATTAAAAGTTGTTTCCAAAAATTGTCATTTCTTTGAAATTTCAGTGACCAAAAAACGATCCACTTTCTTTTTTTTTTTTTTTTTTTTTTTTTAAATGAGTCTAACATAGGCTGAAACAATTAAGCAATTTTTAAAACATATTAAAAGAATACACAAAAATATCTTCAATATAGGAATTAGTGAAGTTCTGCTACATTCCATTATTATAATATTTATTTATTTTTGAAGTTTAATTTGATGGATGATAAACAAATAATGTACATCAGGCATGACAAAAACAAAAAATGAATCAACGGAAAATGTAAAAGGAAATAAAAAAAAGCAGGTCCAGCAAAAAAAAAGGCCAACCTAATAATGTTTAAGCTGTCTAAGAAACACAAAAACCTTCTATATATTTGATTTGATATATTTTTTAAAAATTTATCATTGACAATCGGTGTATTTTATTGCTGCAGAGAGATAAAAACCCAACTGTGATATTATACCAGGAGATAAAAAACTCAGATGTAAGAAGCGGAAGATACATCCCGATTATATTAAAATGAATCTGTCGCTAAGACGAAATTGGCCCAATAGTGAAACGGAATGTAATAAGTCTGAAGAAATGGAAATCTTTGTGGGATAGGAAAAAGGAAAATGAAAAAAAAAAAATGTTGCGGTGGAAGTAGAGGGTAAAAATAAAAATAAAATATTCTGATAAGGGCTAAAAGTAATATGGTAGAGGTAGTATCGAGTTGCCAAAGGAATTCGGTGAAACGCAATACCTGCCCCTAACCACCCCATCCTTTTCCGATAAATCCACAAATTCCAACGCTTTAACAGATAACGGGCCTCGAACCGCACGCAAAGGGCTAATTATTGCTATCATTGCAGTTAACTTTGTTTAAATAAATCCAGGCAGGCAAAGGTTCCTTTGACTCAGATAGTGGTATGTTACAAATACTTGAATGGCTTTCGAATAATGCAAACACAACAGGTCCAAGGCTTAAATCAATGATTAAATATTTACTGGTATTGTATTGTAGATATTTTACGTCCTGATTAACGATCTAGGATTTATGGATACTTGAAAAAACCTAGTAGATTATATTTATATAATCTAACAGAGATCTAAAAACTTTTAGAACGCTGAGAGAATTCAAGATTTAAACATGAAAATCCCTTCTTACGATTAACAATGGCCACTTATTTCTATATTTTAGCTATTAGAAAATTAATGCTATGGATATTTATCATATGATAAGCTAAACAAAATAGTTAAAAAAACTTCCTATATTTTGCAATAACTAATAGTCTAATATTGTTTTTACTTTCTATTCTAAGAGAAGTGTATATCTGCCACCGTTCATCATCTGCACTAGCAAATCCAGGATTTAATTTTTGGGGGGGGGGGCCTTCAGCCCGAAAGATTTTTTTTAATATAAATATGTAACGATAATAAATTTCCGTCCCCCGTAGATCCGCCTGTGATCATCTGAGATCAGAAAATCGATTCTTCGCCTAAATTCTTAGCTCATACCGAGGATAGTTAAAGTGTGTAGCTAATCCTTCAATATTTTGAAGTCAACAATCTGAAGCCTCATTCATAACACTAATAATTTTTGATGAGTTCTAACAACGAGATAAAGGATATATTTTTTTATTATAATATTTTTTATTTGAAAGATAATAATGCAATTTCCTACAATTCAAGCGAAACTAAAGATAGAAAAAATTGAATAAAATCCTAAAATAAATAGATAATAACAATAAAAAGAAAGAGTATTTATAAAAGGAGAAAAACATTAAAAGAATAGTAAAAAAAATACTTTGTGACACATTCATACAATATACACTTTTTCATATAAACAATACAAAATTCATGTACAATATTTACGTTCAGCTAGAGAAGCTCGAAACCACCATTTGCCGCTCTCATGCTAAATGCGATATTAAACCCAAAGAAATGGTTTGAACTAGAAAGGAATGTGCTAAGATGATGGATGTTTGAAAATCTGGATGGACTCATGTCCCGGAATAATGGGTTGTTGAGCTCAATGTGTTGAGTTTTGTTTGGGACGTAGTATGAAGAATTGACTATTGTTCGAAAGACTGAAAGAGTTGCATACGTTTGATGTTCGAAGATTTATCTGTCCCGCACATCTCATTTGCATAGGTCCAGACGGGTTTCAGTATGTCCTCATAGGCAAGTACATGGTTTTCAATTGAATAATAAGAACTACTGAGTGGTAGTTTTTTTTATTTTTGTTATTATTATAATGGCGCTACGGTCCTCTAAGAACCCGCGCCTCCTCCACTACAGCCAATCAATCTACACGGTCGTGTGCTACTTCTCTCCATCTTCGAACGCCCAGCCGACTCAGATCGTTCTCAACGTCCTCCAGCCATCTGATCTGAGGACGCTCTCTACTTCTTTTGCCATCCGGCTTCTCATGCAGCATCTTCTTTGGCATTCTTTGGTTTGGAATTCTTTCCACATAACCTAACCATCTGATTCTGACTCTTTTTATCAATGCTACAATATCAGGTTCACCATAACGTTCTCGCAGCTCCTCATTCTTTCTTCTACTCCAAATTCCATTCTTAAAGATTCCGTCCCATATTCTTCTCAAAACTTTCCTCTCCCAGGAGTTTAGTGTGCGTTCTGAGTTTTTGGTTAAGGTCCAAGTTTCACACACATACATAACTATTGGTCTTACTATGGTTTTGATTCTTTTAGAGAGTGATCTGAACTTCGATAGATTGGTAGTCTAATAAAATTTGTAGAAATCGTCGGTTAAGATCTGGTCTCTTAATTTTGGTATTAGGGTTTCATATCAGCCTCTTGTCTAGAGGAAAAATTAGTACCGGAAAGAGTTTTAGAATGGAAGATAATTATAATCTAAGGTTGTTAATCGAATAATTTCACTTCTCTGCTAATTTTTTTCCCGTGTTATTCACAGTTATTCCTTTTTCAATAGATAGAGGAAATTATAACAATCTAAATGTATTTAATATACAGATTCATTTGTTATTAAAGATTTCTATAATATTTATGCATAAATTAATAGGTAATAGGTATAAAGTACTGCCTGGAGGTAGCCTCCTTGAATTCAGACTCACCTACGACCTGTAGAGTAACAGGATCGCTCATGACGGCCCGCTCGGTGTTGCCGATGTAGTTCCAGACCCTGCAGATGTAGTCGCCCTGATGCTGGTAGGACACGTTCCTCAGCTCCAGCTTGGCCTCGTTGGAGACGATGAGCGGCAGTTCCAGCTCCGGGACCTGCTGGAGCCACTGGTAGGTGGGGGTCGGATTGGCCTCCGCCTCGCAGTCGAACTTGGCCTCGCCGTAGAGGTTGGCCGTGCTCAGCCTGTCCGGCCCCACGCTCCGGATGGTAGGTCCGACTGCAACATCCAAATGGAAATTATATTTCATAAATTAGGCATATATATATATTGGTATCAAACATATCAATGGATGTCAGAATATTTCATACAAAACTAAAAAACTAGTTAGAAAGTAAAAAAACTGCAAGGACCTTAAATAATTAAACATGTCCCGAATAAGGTAATTCCTCAACCACACTAGAAGCAACAAAAGCCTGTTGAAAAGAAATGTTATAGTCAATGTAATATATTAACCTAACTGTCACGAGATAATCTATTATATAATCTACTATATCTAATATTCCCATTCCTATGTCTAGGGTTGCCATTGCGATTCAGAAACTAATTAGATTGCGAGAAAAGTCACCAGTATTTGTTTTTGGGTTGTTTTTCTGTCGAAGGAGTGCGGTAGCTCCAATGATAAAGGTCTCAGGTTCGAACCTCCAGCTCATGGCAGAAAATTTATTTATCTGTTTCATTGGCCTCGGGGCGAACCTAGATCGGGAGACCCTCCTGGGGACACCCAGTCTCTATAAAGTGGATACCCTTGATTAAATAATTGATTAAGGGGGAAAACCTGGCGGTTGAGCGTGATCTCGGTCAAATCACCTCCTTGTACAAACCGTTGATCTAGAAACAGTGCTTTCCCTGAATAGTACTTAACACAAGACCCTTCAAGGGTTGTAGTGGTACAGTTTTTTTTCATTACACGCCTTGTAGATAGACCTTTTGAGGCCTTAACTGTCTTACTCCATTTCTGGATATTTACGCCATAAAAATTGTTGAGGAGGCACATTTTAAGGGATTTTGAATTTACGGAACGAAAAGTTTCAAACCAGAGGACTAGTTTCAAACCAATAAACAGACCATAGCGAGTGTAATTGTGTGTTGGGCGTGGCGTGGTTGAACGACTACAGCGCCGCACGATGCCTGGTAACCCGGACAGAAGATAGTGTGATAAAATAATTCCAAGTTTACGTTCTGTTGCCAAGGTCGACTTTTAACTGTGACCGCCCATTGGGATTCAAGTGCTAATGAGATTTGGAGAAAAGACACCAGTTTTTTTCTCTTTTTTTTAGGTATTACAGAACTTGTAGACATTTTATTCCGTCCTATTTGCAATCTTTTCAGTTATCTGCTGCTCTATTTCATCTTTATTAATTCGATCCATTTACCTGATTTTTGACCTTTCACGAGGTCTCTTGCCTGCTATTGAGACATTCATAGTTGCGTATAGACTTCCTGAAGGATTGCTACGAGCTACACGTCCCGCGTTATCTTAACCTCTTTGCTTTCATATCACAAGGTATTGATTGACCATTTCCTGGAAGCAGTTCTTTATAAGTCCATGCGAAACTATTCCGGGTGCTCCGGTTATGGTGCGGAGGATTTTTCCCTCAAATCTTTTAATATTTCTTTCTAGGGTGCTGGTTAGAGTTTAGGTTTCCCAACCGTATTAAATTTCGTAAGCCCCAAAGAACTGGCTTATTCATAGCATTTAACATCTTTAATTTGAGATTTCTTGAAATTGACGGAATTACCAATATTATTATTGTATAAATTGAATTGTTTAATTGGAAAACCAAAACTGCAATATATAAGGTTTAACCATCTTAAAACACCTACCCACCTCTTTTCAGTGATGATAATAAAGTTCGTCAGATGGACAAAGTACATCAGCTTTCACATAGCTATGGAAGAAACAATCTTTGCCACAGGAAATGGAACAACAACATTCTATTTTTCTGAAGCTTTTAAAAAAAAAAACATAGGAAATAAATTTATAGTATCTTAATTACTTATTTTAGTCTGTCATTCAACCTAACTCCTAACAGTTACTTAAGGAATCTACAAGAACTAACAACGATTTGGAAATCAGGACAAACATCAATTGTCCTATATTAAATTTAATAAATATCTTTAGTATATAAGTACAATGTAATATTTCTTTATATATATATATATATATATATATATATAGCTATTATACTAAAACAATGATGTTTTAACTTTCAATCTGACAATAGACCTTACCACTTTAACTTATAAAAAATTAATTTAATTTTACTAATTTCAAAACAAGACAATCGTCCTGAAAAACGTCGCGAACTACGGTGATTAAAAAAAAAAAAAAATGATGGACCTTGCTAGAATATAGAATAAGGACAATAGAAGATGTCAATAATAATTATTTCACTAAAATAGCATAAAAAGTAAACAAGATACAAGAAGTATATAAAAATAAGTATGTAAAGTAGTGGTTAGAAGAGTTGCTATCATCAAGCGACCCGTAAGAGGTTGAGGAGCCCCGCCATTGTGTAAATAAATAAATAAAGTGGTTAGAAGAAAAATATATATTTAAATAATAGATAGGACCTGGTTCCATAAGAACTATCGCGCGCTCTAAATTTGTTTTCCTTATTTAACAAAACTACTCTATTGTTACAAGCGATACGAAAATTTATTAAGACCTCTACGGTATTTTTCTTTAAAAACTTACAGAGTTCCCCAACTAGGATGTTCATTTTACGATAAACCACGTTCAATGTTCCAATGTTTTTACCCAAGAAGAAGAACATGTTAACTTTGGTAAAGCAATGAGAAAACTTGAGGCATAAACAAAGTTTTCTTCAACAAAGTGTGCTTCAAAACTTTCTTTCTCCTTACTTTATCGTCAGTAAGATTTAAAAGAGGATTTGGGTCCAACATCTAATATGGCTCCTGGCCTTGAATAAGAAATATGCAAATTTCGGACGAAACATTTATAATTAATTATTTTCAATAGCTAAAGTCGTGGCATTGCGAACTTTTGGCCTTTACGTCATAATAGATATAAATGTGATTTTTTTTTTCACTAAACAGCTATCATTTTATTATATCAGATAATGTGGGCATACAGTAAAGCATTGTGAACGAATATTTGCAGTACTATATAGGTAAAGCGAACATTTCATTAAAACGAAATCGGAATATTAAAATAAATTTATCCTCGGGGAAAATGTAGTGATATGTTTAATTTAATTTATATATATAAGTAACATTCTAGTGAATTTGAGATAATCGAATTTGAATTTTCTGATTCGATAAAAAAATACTAAAATAGCAATTTGATAATTTATTTTTTGTTATTTGCAATTCTAATTATATATTATGTATTTGACAGTTAACTAAAATAATTAACATATACATAACAATAAAAACAATCTGGTGCGCACAACACTCAACTTTCACTTAACCGCTCTACTTTGAATATAAATTATTTTATGGCAATGTTGGGATAGTATAAAGTTTTTGAAAATGCATTTTAAACGGAGCTTAAGCTTAAAGCTTACAGTTAACAAATCATTAAGACCATTAAAATTACAAAAGGTCTATTTATTGCATCGACGGTTTGGAATAATAATCTAGTCACTCCATCTGCTATTATAAACCACAAAACTTCAATCCCTGAGCCTTTCAGTTGACAGAATGACTAACTCTAATTTCAACATTTTGGAGTAATGTCATTTTAGTGATATTTTTAATTCGAAAAGTTATATCTATACAGACAGTGAGTAAATTGATTCCAGAATATGGGGTTGCAATTATCTACTTATGCTTCACAAATTTACGGAACAGCCAAAACGACCCACATACGAAAACTACAAACTTTTCAGTCTAAAACTTTCAGAACCATACCAAAGCTTCATGGTACGTTACAAACATCACATTACATAAAGACCTTCAAATGTGATTCACAATCACAATTCACAATTCACAGGCGATTTCACACTAACTTATTGGACATACTAACACACTTATACAAAGTATGGCTAAATTTAACATGCCCGAAAACACACTTAGGAGGCTCAAAAGGAGTTGGATGAGAGATTTCCTCGCTTAAAAATATGCTAAAATCAAGACAGGAAGGAATGCCGCTGGGCACTCCTCTCCATCACGCCGATCAAGCCACTACCTGTACACTTACCGACAGCAGACCCGCTAATTGTCATTGCTTATGACAGTCGTGGGTGAATAGATGAAGTCAAAAAAATATATTACATATATACGTAAGTGAAAGTAAAAATGGAACCACGGTGCACATAGTGACGTTTTTCACACTTTCATAGGTAAACAGAATACTAACATACTTTTATAACCTTGCAAGTGCTTAAAATTTGAGTGAGATTTGTGTCACTTATGTTTAGTTGTTTTATTAATCATTTGATCAACTAATCCAGTGAAAGAAATCATTAAGTACCAGATAGTGAATTTTCGCTCTGTAAAGTTAAAACATCGTGCACTTACAATTAGTGAAACTATTTTTTACATATAAAATAATTTGTATTATTTCTATGAACTTAATGTGTTATTGTATCGTTAAATATATACTTTTTGCAATATATACTACATTTTTATTATTACATAAAATATATATTTTTTTTATTCATATATAACAAATCTTCTTACATCATTTTTAATGTGGATAGAAAAAGTTCCATCACTGCATTGCAAGATTAAATTTTAATAAAATCTCAAATTTGACATGTGTTATCTTTATTGTAATTGATATATCTTATGTCTGGCTGGATATAAAAACTATAACTGAGAAAAATTAATGAAAAATAAGTGTAATAATTTTAAACTGAATATTGAAATATAATTTGAAGGCAGTATCAATATTTCCAATGAATTGTTGATTTTCTAATTAAATGTATTATTCAGAAGAGTTCATTACAATGACCGTTTGAAGTAACGCCCAATTGACATGGGAATATCCTTCAAATTTATCGAATTAATTAGAATGAATTATTTTGTTAGCTTCTATAACAATTTATTTTCTTTAATAATTAAAAGAACATAACTTTTAAAGAAGAAAATAGCTCTTTAAAGAACTCCTGAAATGGTCTCTTATAAACCATTACCGACATTTTTCGTAGCTATTCAGCACTATTTTAGAGGCAATTATATTTTCTTATGATTGAAATACCTTTTTTAGATTCAGTCTTGAAATCATTTTCAATTTTCTGAAAACCAAAGTCTAAAGGTTTCTTAAAATTATATATTTAA